GGGGGTAAAAATAATTGCTTAAATATTAGGGTGGAGAATATAATAAGAGTTTCTTCTGGGCCGGCCCGTGGCTCACTCGGGAGAGTGTGGTGCTGATAACACGAAGGCCCCGGGTTCGGATCCCATATAGGGATGGCCGGTTTGCTCACTGGCTGAGCGTGGTGCTGACAACACCAAGTCAAGGGTTAAGATCCCCTTACCGGTCATCTTTTTTTTTTTTTTTTTTAAAAAAAAGAGTTTCTTCTGACTATCATACTAATTAAGTATGATAGTAAATTAGGTTGGTAGCCAAAAGAAAACTGAAAAGTAAAAACTATTTCCCAGAACATGTCAATGCCTCCACAAAATATTTAAGGAAGGTATTGAATAAATGAAGCCGTATTTTTTTGTTCTTATACTAACATCAAGTTATTTATAACACCACAGTTAAGAAAGCACTGCTTTTATAAAAGGGCTTGAGGGACTGGGTTTGTGTGTGATCATCTGCTCTTCTGCCATGTGAGGACACAGCCTTCAAGGCACCTTCTTGGGAGCAGAGACCAGGCCTTCACTAGCCACCAAACCGGCTGGCACCTTAATCTTGGACTTCCTAGCCTCCAGAACTGTGAGAAATAAATTTCCATAGGAAACAAGGAAGGACTACCTAACTTTAAAAAACAAAAACTCCCAAACAGGCCTACCTATTTTGAATTCAGAAGTTCTGTTAACTACTGCTGATTCTAACTTTACAGAATAACCAATGTAGGTGAAATACAGAGTAAATAAAAAACAATTTAACTTCCAAGGAAGACAAAATCCAGTGAGAACTACTGACAAATAGAGGTTTATCTTAATGACAATTTGAGGCAGACATACAGGAAGATTAGGAACATACTGGGTTTCATGAGACAAGAGGACCAAGATACAAAATGTTTACTAAGTAGTCACCTAAATTAATATCAAGGTGTCAAAGAAAGAAAATGCACTTCTGCAATTCTGAAGAAAACGATTTTACATTTGAAGAAAAAGGAAAAGGAAGAACACTTAGTAGCCCCATCCTACAACAAGGTAGGCATCAGGTCTTAGAAAACACAAAAAAATAAAAGCTACTCCCTCTGATTCTTCCCCATCACTCAGGTTTTCAGCTGCTAGATCCACTTCCTATTCACCCTAATCAGGAAAGCAAGGGACAGAAAAACAAGAAAAGTCAGGCTGCTCAGCCTGTTATCATAATATAATTTTATCTAAATACAATTAAATCAAGTTTGTGTTAATGTTTACTACACTCAAGGACTCAAGCACTCAATCCAAACAGTCCTTTCTTATCTGTTCACTGACAACTGATTCCTTTTAATAGCCAGCATATATAAGTGACTGATATCAAATAACTTTCTAAAAAGAAGGGGTGAGTGGATGCCTAAAGGAAGAAGTTCATTAAGTAAGGAGAAAGAGTACAGAAAGGAAACACTAGAAATACCAAAGACAAGCAGGTATTTATAGTTTTGCCTAAGGGCACCTTAGAATAATATCTAGGCAAGTATTAACAGCAATAGCCAGAACTGCACAAGCAACTACCTTAGTGGGAATACCACTTTTCAGGGGTATGATGCAATCCAACCTGACATGGTTCACAAAGATATATTTTAATACAGTGGACCTCATTATAAAGGAGATTCCATCCCAGAATATTCCATAGTCAATGCATTATTATAATTATGCAGCTTAACCAAGACTGACAATAAGAGATCTCAAAAATAGAAAATAATACAACTGTAATTGTAATGCAATTGCAAGGAGCTCCCTTTGACAGAAACACAGCACAATAATAGTTAATAAATATCACATCTGGTATCCCACTTCTTAAAAATAAGCGTATTTATTATACCATGTGGTCATATTATACCATATACAATATCATACCATATGGTCATAGAAAGAAACATGAGAGAAATATAAATGGTCAGAAATAAATGTTTAATGCCAAAAGTATAAGCACATTCATTTGATAAACATTTAATAAGCTCCTGTCATTTACCAGAATATTCTATTTTGAGCACCTACAAAGTAACTTACAAATAAGGGACATGAAATTTGTTCACTCCGCAACATAATTATAAAAACTAAAATCTATAAGTAGTAGGAAGGAAACAGAACTTAGAGTAAAGTCAACAGAATAAGTCACATCACCTAATCAATAGTTGTAAAGCACAGTTATACCATATTTTATTATTTGTAAAGTACAATAAGGCCTATTATTTTATGTAATAAAATACCAGATATCGAATGTAATAAATTTTACCTAACAAAAACCAAAATGTAAATAAGGTAATTTGACAAGATGATAAGAGGCTGAATAATGCAAAACAGGCTGAAAGCAGCAAGGACTAAAGAGAGGAAAAAGTGAAAAGAAAAAAAAAAAATAGGACAAAAAGGAGGCCAACACAAAGAAATCAATCAAACCTATAAAAAAAAAAAAATGGGTAAGGGTAAAGAGGTGTGAATGCACAATGGAAGACTAGCCACAAAGTGCCAGTAGTGCAAGGGAGAAAAGAGCCAAGTGAAACCCGACGACAACACCAAGTCAAGGGTTGAGATCCCCTTACCGGTCATCTTTTAAAAAAAAACAAAAAAAACAAAAAAACTAAAATCTATATTCTATGTTCGAGATGTTTAATAACAGTAGAAAATTAAAAACAACCTAACATCCAAAACAAGATGATCAGTTAAAAAAACTATATTTGACACTATGTAAAAAGTTTTGCTAAATTGTTAAATTAAAAAAATTTACAATCATAAGAGTAGATGGAATACACCAAAATGTTTATAGTAGTTATATCTTAGTGGCAAGATTACAGATGATTTTTTTTTTTACTTTTTGTACTTATATTTTTCTAGTTTTTTTGATAATAATCATGCTTTCCCTCTGTAATTAGAAATTTTTTAGTGCAGCTGAAATTTCTGAGAAAATAAAAACTTACATTTTACTGTCAAGTAAGATAAATCTTTAGAATAAAATGTGTCGTTATATAGAAGTACATTTTTTCATTTATTTCCATGTATTTGGCAATTTTAAGATAACCCTTTAATTGCATATAAGGAAGACAGTTCAATTAAAAGACCACAGTACCTTTCAGTTTCTGATGAATTAATATCAACTTCAAATTTACAATTATTTTTTGGAGAAATGTATTCTATCATCTGTAATACTGATATATATATTCAAAAGAGATCAATTTTTTAAATCATTTATTACCACCACCACCCACCCCCAGCCAAATGCATTTATCAGCTCATAAGAAAATATAAAGAAAAAAACTATTATTCATCAATAATCATTAAAAACTGAGTGGAGGGGACAGTGGGAAACACTTGTCTTTTAACTAAATAAAATTAGTTAAAAGTCATAGTTTCAGGAGATCAGAATATGCTTTCCAATTGCCAATTTAAACTTAATCTAGCATAGAGATTCTCAAGCACTGGTACATGGGAATTGCCCAAGAAGTGTGCCAAATACAGAAATCTATGGCCCTAGCTCTCACCTACTGAATCAGAATCTTCAGGGGGTAGAGCTCCAAACAATCTGGTCCTTTCAAATAAGAAAGCAGGGTAGAGATTTAACTTAAAAGCCGTCTACATAGAATTGCAAACTGTTCTAAATTTATCAATGTAAACAATGTTATAATCAGAGAAGTACAATTGTATAACCCCTACCCATTAATTTATCCACTCTTCTACTCTATAGTATTCCTCAAACAAGGATAAAATTCAACAAAACCACACATGTACTGCAGAGTAAAGTAAAGCCCAGAGGCACCTGTGCCTAGTAAGACAAAGGCATATCCGATTCCTGGAGAAAACAGACAGCAGATGTGACCTCTAGTATTTACCCCCTTAAAACAATGTATCCTAAAAATAAATTTCCATGTCAACGGAACAAAGCTGTTTATAATTAAGAAGGAATGTGGAGGTGAGGGGAAGACAAGAGGAAGCTTCAGCAAGTTAAGTACCACAAACCAGGAAACAAGGCAGAATTAATGATAAATGGGGACAAGGGAAACAGAATAAACTAGGAAATGGAAGAAAGAAAGAGCTTGATCCTTAGAATCCAAGAAGATGGGGGAAATGAACAGATTTAAGCAGAAATGCAACGTGGAAAGTGAAGTGATTTTAAGAAATAAAAAAAAAGAAGGGGGAGAGACGAGGGAAGGGGGCGGAGACGACTGGAAGTCGCCGCGGCAACGGCGTCACCCGCGTGTCACGGTCGTGACGTCACCCCGGGGTGCATGACGTAATCCGAGGAGCGCCCTCGCGCCGTCGCCCGGGGAGGGTTCCCGCCCCTCCAACCACGCTCTTGCTCCCACGTTTCCTCCGCTCCACCGTTTCCATGGCTCCGATTTCCTACTTTCTCCTCATCTCCGACCGCAGACTGTTCTGTAATGTGGGATTTACTAGAAAAGCAGGGGTGGTGTTGGAGGAGAAGTTGAAATCCTAGAGGGAGGAAGGCGGGGAAGCCCATAGTACTTGCTATTTCTATTACAACGACGTCTTGGAATCATAAAAATAAGACCTTAAGCCCCAAGGTTGAAACATCCAAATAGAATTTGATAGAATGTACTTAGGGACAGCTAAGTTAGCACCATGGTGTTTGTATCCTTTCACCCCCCAATAACGAAAACATCTACGAGATGCAGCGCCGGACATCTCCGCCGGTCGTGACCTTCTCGGACCAACCCTGAGTTTCGCCCCCTATTGATGGCCGCCTGTTCAACCCCCGCTGCCCCAATCTCTACATCTGGGGTGGGGGCCTGGGAACCCCCCACCCCCGGGCCATTGTGTTTACGTAGCAAGGAGGTGCATGACGGAGAGGGACACGGGCCGATGACCACCTCCCACCCCGCGGAGCCGACCGGAGAAGGTGGCTGAGGGCACCAGAGCCCCCACCGCCGCCTCCTTCCCCCAAATAAACACCAGCCAGCCGAGCCCCGAGATGCGAGAGGCGGCAGGGTGGCGCCGGCACTCACCTCCTCGGGAATGGCAGGGTCCGCAGCCGAAGACGCCGCGGCGCCGGCGTCGGCCTCGGGCTCCATGTCCCCGTTGAACAGAACCTGGCCCTGCTCCGCGCCGCCGCCGCCGCCGCC